CCTGACGGTTCAATCGCCCGCGAGCCGCGACACGCCCGCCCCGCCGAGGGTCCGGGCGCCTTCCCCCTCGCCCGGCGCGGGGGGGGATCGGCGTCCCGAGTCCCTCCGGGACGAGCGCCGCCGCCTCCGGCGGCTGGGGTTCTGGGGCCGCAGCGCCTCCGTCCCCCCAGTCCCAGACCCCGACGGCGTCCGTCCCTCTCCGCCGGTCGGCCCCGCTCCGCCCCGCCGGGCGGGAGCTCGGGGGGTCCGTCCGCTACGTCGCGTGCGGCGGTCCCGTCCGGGGAAGCCCCCCGAGCGCGCTCGCCCCCGCGGGTGTCGGCGCCTCCTCCGCGGGAGGTGGCCGGCCCCCCCGGCGTCGCGACGGGCCGCGTCTCCCGTGTGGGTCCGGCGGTCCCGCGTGCGCGGGACGGTCGGGTCGGGTCGGAGAGCGCGCTCCGAGCGGCTGTACTGCGGTGTCCCCGTTGCTTGCCCGCGCGCCAGCGCCGCGCCCCGGCCCCCGTCCGGCTTCCCCGCCCGCCGGGTCCGCCTTACGACCGCGCCCCCGTTTCGGCCGTTTCCCCCCGTGGGGGGCCCTCGCGGTGAGGGCGGCGCCCGGGCCCGCTCTCGGCGTCCCCCGCGACCTTCCTCTCGGACCGCGACCTCAGATCGGACGTGGCGACCCGCTGAATTTAAGCATATTAGTCAGCGGAGGAAAAGAACTAACCAGGATCCTCAGTAACGGCGAGTGAAGAGGGAAGAGCCCAGCGCCGAATCCCGTCCCGCGGTGGGACGCGGGAAATGTGGCGTACGGAAGACCCACTTCCCCGGCGGCGCTTCCGGCAGGGGCGCCCAAGTCCTTCTGATCGAGGCACAGCCCGCGGACGGTGTGAGGCCGGTGGCGGCCCCGGCGCGCCGGGACCGGGTCTTCTCGGAGTCGGGTTGCTTGGGAATGCAGCCAAAGCGGGTTGGTAAACTCCATCTAAGGCTTAAATACCGGCACGAGACCGATAGTCGACAAGTACCGTAGGGAAATGAAAAGAACTTTGAAGAGAGAGTTCAAGAGGGGGTGAAACCGTTAAGAGGTAAACGGGTGGGGTCCGCGCAGCCGCCCGGGAGGATTCAACCCGGGCGGGTCCGTCGGCCGGGCCGGGCCGGCGGATCCCCTCCTCCCTCGCCCCCTCGCGGGGAGGTGGGTTCCGTGGAGGGGACCACACACCGCTCCGGACGGCTCCGGCCCCCGTCGGCGCATTTCCCGCCGGTGCGGTGCGCCGCGACCGGCTCCGGGTCGGCTGGGAAGGCCTCAGGCCGGGCAGGTGGCCCGCCGCCCCCGCCGGGCGGCGGGTTGTACAGCCCCCCCGCCGGCAGCAGCTCTCGCCTCATCCCGGGGCCGAGGGAGAAGACCGCCGCGCGCCCGCCTCCCCCCCCCGGGGGGTCGGCTCAACCGCCGCCGCTCCCGCCGCCGCCCCCCTCGCGGGGGCCGGCGGCGGGCAGGCGGCGCGGGGGCCGGCGCGTGCGGGGGCCGGGGCCCCCCGCCCCCGGACGCGACCGTCTCCCGGGACGGACTGTTGTCAGTGCGCCCCGACGCCGTCGCGCCGTCCCGGGGGGTATCGGGGCCGCGCCGGCGCGCACGGGGTCCGCCCGGCGACGTCGGCCGACCCACCGACCCGTCTTGAAACACGGACCAAGAGTCTAAACACGGCGCGCGCGAGGTCAGAGGCTGCAGACGAAAGCCACGTTGGCGCAATGAAGGTGAGGGCCGGCGCGCGCGCCGAGGTGGGATCCCGAGGCTCCGAGCGGAGGGCGCACCACCGGCCCGTCCGCCCGCCCCGTCGGGGGAGGTGGAGCGTTTAGAGCGCGCGTGCTAGGACCCGAAAGATGGTGAACTATGCCTGGGCAGGGCGAAGCCAGAGGAAACGCTGGTGGAGGTCCCGTAGGGTCCTGACGTGCAAATCGGTCGTTCGACCTGGGTATAGGGGCGAAAGACTAATCGAACCATCTAGGTAGCTGGTTCCCTCCGGAGTTCCCCTCAGGATAAGTGGCGATCGCGGGCACAAGGGCTGCCGCAGTTTTACCGGTCAAAGCGAATGATTAGAGGTCTTGGGGCCGAAAACGATCTTCACCTATTCTCAAACTTTAAATGGGTAGAAGCCAGGCTCGCTGGCGTGGAGTCCGGGCGTGGAATAGGCGAGAGCCTAGTGGGCCACTGTTTGGTAAGCAGAACTGGCGCTGCGATGAACCGAAACGCGGGTTAAGGCGCCCGATTGCGCGCTCATCAGAACCCAGAAAAGGTGTTGGTTGATATAGACAGCAGGACGGTGGCATGGAAGTCGGAATCCGCTAAGGAGTGGGTAACAAATTCACCTGCGAATCAAACTAGCCTGAAAATGGTGGCGCTGGAGCGTCGGCCCATACCGGCCGTCGCCGGCCAAAACGTGCCCCGGGGGCGTAGGCCGGCGAGAGTAGGAGGGCCGCCGCGCGGCGCCTTGAAGGCTAGGGCGTGGGGCCCGGGTGGAGCCGCCGCGTGGGCGCAGATTTGTGTGGTAGTAGCATAATATTCAAACGAGACTTTGAAGGCCGAAGTGGAGAAGGCGTCAAACACCCGTGAACAGCAGTTGAAACCGGGTCCAGTCTGGTCCTGAGGAGGATAAGGCGAGGTGCCGTTACGAAGGGACGGGCGAGCCTCCGTCGCCTCAGCCGATCGAAAGGGAGTCGGGTTCAGATCCCCGAACCGGAGTGGCGGGACGGGCGCCGCGAGGCGTCCAGGTTGCGGTCAACGCGGACGCTCACGAGGAAGAAAGACGGCGGAAGTCCCCGGGGAGAGTTCTCTTTTCTTTGTGAAGGGCAAGGGCGCCTGGAATGGGTTCGCACCCGAGAGAGGGGCCCGCGACTGGAAAAGCGTCGCGGTTCGGCGGCCGTCCGTGTGAGATCTCGCTGTGGCACCTTGAACGATCCGGGGAGATGGTGTAAATCTCGCGCCGGGCCGTACCCATATCCGCAGCAGGTCTCCAAGGTGAACGGCTCTGGAATGTAGAAACAATGTAGGAAGGGAAGTCGGCAAGCAGGATCCGTAACTTCGGGATAAGGATTGGCTCTGAGGGATGGGCCGGTCGGGCTGGGGCGCGAAGGGGGCCGGGCGGCGCGCCGCGGCTGGGAGAGGAACAGCCGCTTCTCCGCCCCCCCGACCCCTCACGGGGGGCGGGCGGGGTCGGAGGGCGCGGCCGGCGATCCGGAGGCGAGCCGGGCCCCTTCCCGTGGTGCCCACACCAGCTGCGGCGGGCGGCGGCCGTCACGCCACCCTCGCCGGGGCCGGCGGCGGCACCGTCGTCCCGCCTCGGCCGGCCGCCTAGAAGCTGACTTTAGAACTGGCGCGGACCAGGGGGAATCCCGACTGTTTAATTAAAACAAAGAATGCGAAGGCCCGCGGCGGGTGTTGACGCGATAGTGATTTCTGCCCAGTGCTCTGAATGTCAAGTGAAGGAAATTCAATGAAGCGCGGGGTAAACGGCGGGAGCAACATGATCTTCGTAAGTTAGCAATGCCTCGTCATCTAATTAGTGACGCGCATGAATGGATGAACGAGATTCCCACGTCCTACCACTATCTAGCGAACCACAGCCAATGGGAACGGCTTGGCGGAAATCAGCGGCGAAAGAAGACAAGTTGAGCTTGACTCTAGTCTGGCCCTGGAAGAGACATGAGAAGGCCGTAGAATAAGTGGGAGGCCCGCCAGGATGCCGGTGAAATACCACTACTTCTGACCGTTTTTTCAGTTACCCGGTGGAGGCGGGGGGCGAGCCCCGAGGGGCTCGATTCTGGTCAAGCGCCCGGCGCCGGGGCCGGGCGCGGACCCGCTCCGGGGACAGAGTTAAGGTGGGGAGTTGGACTGGGGCGGACACCTGTCAACCCGTAACGCAGGTGTCCTAAGGCGATCTCAGGGAGGACAGAAACCTCCCGCGGAGCAGAAAGGCAAAAGCTCGCTTGATCTTGATTTTCATTACGAAAACAGACCGTGAAAGCGGGGCCTCACGATCCTTCTGACTTTTTGGGTTTAAGCAGGAGGTGTCAGAAACGGTACCACAGTTATAACTGCTTATTGGCGGCAAGCGTTCATAACGACGGAATCCGCTTTTTGATCCTCGAGTCGGCTCTTCCTATCATTGTGAATCAGAATTCACCAAGCTTTGGAATTGTTCACCCACTAATGGGAGCGTGAGCTGGGTTTAGACCGTCGGCGTGAGACAGGTTAGTTTTACCTACTGATGAATGTGTTTTTGCACTAGTAATCCCTGCTCATAGAGAGGAACCGCAGGTGTCAGACATTTGTGTACGCGCTTGGCTGAGGAGCAATGGGCGAAGCTACCAGCGTGGGATTATGACTGAACGCCTCTAAGTCAGAATCCCCTAAACGTAACGATACCGCAGCGCGAGGAGCCTCGGTGGTCCTCGGAATAGCCGGGCCTCCCGGCCCGGTGCGGAGAGCCGTCCGTCACGGAAGCGGAGCGTGGCCGGAGGGGGCCAGACCTATCGCCTGCGGCGAAGCGCCCGACGTTCGCGGGGAACCCGGTGCTAATCATTCGGTACCCGCCCTGATTCTGGGTCGGGGTTTCGTGCGTAGCAGAGCAGACTCCCCTCGCTGCGATCTATTGAAAGTCAGCCCTCGACACAAGCTTTTGTCCGTCCGTTGGCGAGCGCTGAGCGAGCGAGCGACGAGGTAGCGCGGGCTCCCTCGAAGGTGCCCGCTGGTCACACGTCCCCCCCCTCCTTCCTCCACATTCCCTCTCCCGCCCGACACACCCGGGGCGGGGGCCGGTCGGCCGGCGGAATGCAGCCCTCGCGGGAGGGGCTGCCCCGGCCGTCGCGGTCCTGCCCGTCCCCCGGTAGACCTGGTGGACAAGGCGGGTGTCGGGCGGGGGGGGAAGAGGGAGGGGAGGAGGGCGGGGGGGACGATCCGGCGGCCGCCAAAGGCAGCAGCCGCAGGAGCCTCTCCGCGCGCAGGCGCGCGAGAGCTCCGCGGCTGCCCT